AAGTGCTTCGCAGATATTTCACATGCTTAACAATTTGTAATTATAATAAAATTATAACAAATCGGACAAGAAGTAGGTAAATCCACTATATTTTAATTGCATGAGAAGCAACGTGAACCTAGCTTCCAGTAGATGATAATAACAATCAAGAATGCAAAGTGCGTATACTGACACAAAATAAGATATCATACTCTTAAAATAATATGTAGTTCTCTCTTTTTTATACCAAGATTCTTACAACCAAGATGAGTTATACTAAAAAAAAATACATCTTTTAAACGAATTTATTATGACATTTGGTTGGAATACTGTGATGGTAAAACATACGAATCATAAAACCTTATTTTGCCACCAGTTTGTACAATAATACTTGGGACACTTTAAGTTAACCGTTTCACTAAATAGAAACAAATATTAGTTATTATAAAACAGCTTTTGCATCTTCCACATAAGAGACAATATAATCAACACTCTTCAGTTGAGAATACAAAAGAATATACTATAAATAATAGGTTAATTGGTCATTACGTTATTCAAAAACTGGAACTTTTACTTTTCTAATAGTTTATTCATTTGTTCTAATAAAGTAGTCAGCATGAACATCAGAGAAAAGTATAACAGACACAGTTTTTAATTTTAAAAATTGTAGGTTCTTTTTAAAATAGCTAAATAAAATATGTAAATAGTAAGATAACGATAATCTAGCAAAAATGACTGGCCACAAGATAAGATTTACTTACAGGGAGATTCAGCTCCTGTTGCCATCCTATCGCAAAGATAAGTAATACAATTGTGATTATGAGCGTTTTCAACCCCAACCGCGCTTACACCGAACAGCTTGCTTTATAGACAGTGAGCGCTACCACACCCTACTCTTGTTCTCTAGGGATCGATTTTAGGAAAAACATTATTCAATTTTTAATTTGTAAAAAATAGCTTCTGAAGATAAATGAGCGTTTATAAAACAGGTATATCGATTTTTAGTAAATTTACAATATTATTTTATAATTAATAGAATAGAGGGCAGCACATACTACGTAAAACTTAATAATAACAAACACCACAAAAAATTCTCATTTCTGCATTAATTTATCTACATAAAAAAAAAAAAAAGAGTTCACACAAATGTTGTGAAATTGAATCAATAACATTACAATTATTTAGGGTAAAAATATAATTATCAACTAACACTAACCTTAAAGACGACTAATCATAATGTAAAATTAGAGAACACAAATTTAATTCAAATAACAACCATTAATAGTTTATTTTAAATATTAGTATGGTTCTAAATTATCTAATTCTGGGCTTATATTCTAAAATACTAATATTAGAAATAATTCTCATATCATTATTAATATATAACATTTTAATAAGGCTATACAGACATATATTTATAGCAAATCCCCTTACGGACAGTCTTTAGAACTGTAGAATGATTAACTTCTTGAAACTGAAGTATTTCACCTTATGAAAAAATATTTACCTACTAGATAGGACACATAGGAAGGAAAACGTTAAGAATGAAACTTGAAAGTCAACAGTTTTTAAGTAAGGTTTTAATTTATCCTGCATTTAAAAAGCAAAACTAGTGGGGCGCAACATAAAAAATGCTGATGCTTTTTAATTTTCCACATAATTATCCAAGCATCATGGCTGTACTTATTACACGAAAAAGGGTGCAATACTCTCAACAGTTTTAAATAAGGAAACAGGCATAACATGACCCGCTTTTCAAAATTATTAATGGATAGATGTATTCGCTGGGGTTAATCTGATTTGTGGATTGATGAGATTGAAACAGATGTAAATATTGATAAAATAAAACTAAAAGCTTTCAAAACTTATGATGTTGACTTATTCCACGATTTTTTATTTATAAATGTCGGTAATATTTTACCTAAAGGTAATGATGAATATCACCAAAGATTCATTCACATATTTCTATAACAAATTCATTATAAAAAAATTATGAGTGTTAGAGTTAAATGCTATACTTTGCGATTTTTTACCCTTTTTATTGTTGTTAATTTATTTTTTCATCACCTAATCAAATCATAGTATGTTTGAACAGACGAATATGCTTTTCCATCTGTTAATTTTTTAACGAGTTAAACCGAACCTGGTAAAACATTTTTATTGACTGTAAAGTAAAGGTGCTTGATGTTTAACAAGTAGTATGAATTAATCTAAACAAAAAAACATTTACCTGTTGTATATATATATTAGTTCGGAAAAAATGCCTTAAATTTTCATTGTTATTCAAATCATCCTTATAAAACATTTATAATATCTGGAGCAACTGGGGTTTATTTTGTTTGTTTCTAAAAAATATAAGTAGATTATTCAAGTTATGAAATATTTAAATTTAGTATACCAGAAAAACACAAAAATAAAATGGGAACATTTATGGCTCTATCAATTTGAAAATACTAGATGCATGTACATATTTTCTACAATGATACAATCCATCATAAAATGTATAGAACAATTAAACTTAATTAAAAGAAGAATGTCATCTCATTGTGTAGGTTTTAAGTTTCAATCCAACAGACAAAAAATTGTGCTTTTAACAACTTATATTTACAATTAGTCCCTTTTTAATACCGATTATGTGGTTTTTTTATTCCCTGAAAAGATTTTTCATTTTATTCTGAAAACTTGTTGTTTAACTTGTGTTGCTCATAGCATAGGATCTTGTGATAAACTTCCCTATTTGATTCCTGAAGAGCAAATTGTTGGTTTTTTTATTTTGTTCCTTGACTTCTTGATTTATTACATACCTTTCCTGAAAATGCAAAACAACATTTCTTTTTAACTTTATCTCTATATCTTATATGCAATTCATGGTAAGCTATCAATTTTTACCACACAATTAACTACACACCTAAAAGAAAACAACAAAACAAGAATTAGTAAACAAATTTTCCTTTTCTTAGATTGCAAAGTTCAATAACAATTATAGGTATAATTCAAGTATCTCTAGTGCATGTTTTCATGTACCTGAATGTTTTATTAAACCTTAAGTTGTTGAAGTATCTATAACAAAGAAACAGTGCTGAGATTTGGGCTCATATGTTTTGACTCAAGTAAGATTCTGACTCTCCTATAAAAATCAAGGATACTGTGAAAATACCGAAACACTAAAGAAATCAGCAAAACATTCTGAGGTCAGAGACTGTAATCATTTGAGCACATATAAATAATACTACTCATAAGTTTTAATAACTGCTCAAAATTTAAAACTGTTAATAATGTAAGTGCCGGTTATCTATGTTGTAATTGCCATAAGTTGAAACAGTTGTAATTACTACCTGCTAATGTTTGCATATAATTAGATAAAAAAAATCAATGATTCCTTTGGAAAAGTCTGGACACTCATGCCGTTCTTGACAGTAAGATCTTTGTTAGAAATTACTTGTCATTAACGTGTGGTGCACCGTAAAATAATTGTGTTTACTAATGCTACAAACATTTAAAACATCATGAATTATGATTCTTGTAAATTCTTCATAAAATAAAAATCCACAACTGAATGCATTGCCAACATATACTGTATGTACTTTTCATGATCCTCTAAATCAGTTTATGTTTTCTCTTCAGAAATAAGGGGAAACAACAGCATCTTGTAAAATAAAACATCAATTAAATAACAACATAAGTTATTAACAGAGTCTAATAATGTAAATTGTGTATAAATGAGTTTTTAATATTCTTTGCTAACGTATCCATTTAAAAAAAATTCTAAGATTCCAATTCAGCCATACATAAGCAAATGTAAAAAAAAATTATCACCACAGATCTAAAAATATTTTGTTGGTATCTAATTTAACTTTAAAGATTTATATTCCATGTATGGTGGTTAACATTAACCCATTCTTGTATGTAAAGTTAGAGATGGTTAATACTTATTGGCTAGGTTTTATAATATACAAGGTAACTCAAAAAACATTTTTACAATTCAGATTTTGTACACTTTTTTTTTTTTAAGTTTATGCAACACTGTATCTATTCTTGTCTTAGAACTATTCCTATAACTCCACATAATACTGATTGTGTTCATACTTTATGGCTGTCTTTATAATAAAGCCCTAAAAAAAAACAACAGGTATTCTTCTTTAACAATAACATTTCTTTAAAGTAGCCCTTAGTTCTAAAGATGTCAACCAAGTTCATTCTTTAGTTTTAAATACATTTTGATCATCAACTGTATATTCTTTCTTTGATACTTTTCCAAATTCTGAATGAGATTACGTGTACTTTGAAACTACTACATTATTCCTTTAGGATTGTTTCCTTCTCCTACTAACAATAGCTTTAATTGATACTTCTACTTTCCTATTTTATATGAAATTGACTTTATATCTAATATCATTATAAGACTGTTTCTTTAACAGTATATGAAACAATTCTATATTTAGAATTTTTTTTTGTAAATACCACTGATTGTATTATAGACTTTTCCTTACAAAATTGACTACATTCTTTCTTTAGGACTGTTTTCTTATATCCATTAGAACTGGGCAATTAGTGGAACTTGCTAATCAATGAACTGTTAGACTCATTAATCAATTACATTCAACTACTTTATTTTTCTCACATTGATCGACTGAATTGTAATTTTGATAAATAAATTATTTTACAGGACACTAATTGATACTCGTATGTATATATATAGTAACTTACTAATCATCACTAATATAATCTCACTTTAAGACTGTTCCCGTATGGAATGTGACATTCATTGTATCCTTTTCTTTAAGACTGGTCACTATTTCTGGCTCTAATAATTGAATCCACTTAAAAACTGTTTCCTAAGATAATATAAAACTAACTATATTCATTCTTTAGGAATGTTCTTGTATTTCCAATCACACTGATTGTACATGTATGCTCACTTTAATACTATTTCTCAGTGTCACATGACAAGACTATACTCTTCTTGTAGCATCATTTTCTAGTGTATAGAGGTTCAACACAAAAAATTAACATCCACAGGATAAAGAGCTTGTAATATTTTATTACTAATTATTAACAGATATTGATGAAACTGAATACTATGTACACTACTATTAAAATCTAGTTAATTTAAATATAGTCCTATCTATCATTTCTTTCCTTTTCCAGAGTCCAGAAGATCTTTTGCTTCATTTATCTTTGATGCAAGGTATGGAGAGCCACCTAGAAAGAAACAGTGGGAATATCCAGAACTAATTTAATTATATATTGAAACATGTAATACACTAAACATATTATCATATGGATTTTAAATTAACACTTTCTTCATTTTTACTTATTTTTTCAGCTATACAGGCATGTATGAAGTAGCAATTTGATTTTGCTTTAAAAAAACTTGAATGTCATAATGAACAGCACTAGCTCAAAGGTTTACATGTTTAAAACTACATAAGATGTATCAGCTATGTTAAGAACATGAAAATAAGTTTATATATCAGGGTCATAACTAGAAATTATTCAGTGTTCTTTTCTGCAAAGATCAGTGATTATCTTATAATGAAGCATCCTGCTAAGTAAGGTAATAAGGTCTAAAGATCCTTGCCCAGAAACATTTGAAAATATGAATAGTCTAAGATGCATTTTTATGGTATTTGTGAGAGAAAGCAAAAACCAATACCTCTCACGAATCACAGAAACATTAGTAATTTTAATATTTTTATCTTTATCTCCATGTATTTAGTGTCCATTGTAAAAGTAATCTGTGGATGTGAAAACAATCATGAGGATTAGTTGTGTACTTATGAGGAAAGCTTCGTTATCATAACGAATCATGAGTAGAAATACTCTGTCTTTTAACTATTTCAATATCATATTACTAATGACAATAGCGTGTAGTGATACCACTGCCCTGCTCAGTGTAAACATAAAAGGACATTAATCTAATACAAATGTTGGTGGTTTCAAGGGCAGTCTGGTGAACATTTACAACAGACTTAGCTTTCCAACAGATGTCCACAACTTCTGTATGTTCTACGACACAAGTCATAAATTCAAGTGTACACTTTCCAGAGTCACATTTTGCACTTTCTTCAACATATTACCCCCAAGAAAAACTTGTATAAACTCAGAAACCACAAGAAACAAAGCAGAATCAACAAGTTCAAACCAGACTAATGAATATTTAAGTACTGTTGCCACAGCTGTCCACAATGTCACAACTGTTTTAAATACTGACTTAACTTTCAACAACTTAGGTATCTTCCACCAGTACTAGATGCTATTTCAACCAACTTACAGTCCATGAAAGTTATATGAAACATATCCATGTCAACAGAAATCTGGATTCTAAAGAGGCCACCAGAGAACAATTTTTAAGGAGCATGGTACAGTTGACAAAACACCTTTTAACATTAAACTCTTAGCAAATTATAATAGTTTTCGTGACCATAAATTCAAAGAGTCTCTCTTGATTCAATCCTGCAAAGAGAAGTAATTGCAGTTTTCTGTCACTTAAGTCATTTGAACTCCATTCAATGTGCATGTGGTAATACATGATTCCTCTACCATTAGTTCAGGTTTAAATTGTTATATGTTTTCTTTTCAATTATCAGTTTGTACTTGTATGTGATGCTGTAACCCTCAAGAAAGGCGTAAGCTGAAACATTGGGTTTAAATAAAATCTATTGTTTTTCTGGAGTATGTTAGTCCTTTTTTTTTTTTGCAAACATTGATCACTGTTCTTCCACTATTTACCAATGACAGAAGTTCTATGGCTGGTGCCTTTACACCATTTTTTGAAAACAGCAAAGAAAAAGCTTATTAACTGAGGTTTGATAAAAGTTTTTGTAATTATTTTGTACTTAAGCAACTTTATCTATAAACCACATAGCTCAAGATAAATTCTACCTAAATCTTGGTTAATCCTTTCATGACAGTTACTCCTTTAAACACTTTTCTACACAAGTCACTGAGTTACATTGAAAATTTAATTAAACAACTTTAATATCAATATATGTGAATGAAATTAACATTATAATGTATGTTATAATTCAAAGTATTATGTTATCTAAGTTTTATTTCTTATATTTCAAAAGAAACTTTTAAAAAAACTTAAATTTCAGTTTTGTGTTGTTACATGACCCACAAGTTATGAAAAATATCAACTTTCACACTTGACTTGTGTAATGTCACTCATGTATGTCTAGACAATTAAGTGCAATAACTTGCCCTATTGACATGTAAGTTTCAAAGTCTTCTAACTGAATGGAGTAGAAACAGGTAATAAATTATGTCAACCCCTAATGGGCACAACACCCACCCTTTATATATTTGCTTGAGCTTTATAACATAAATGTAGTTGCTACATATATATATGTTTATAGTCATCAGAAAGAACTAATTTTACACTATAAGCCAACAATGGTTATTTTGAAATTGGGACACAGTTGTCGTTACCTGGTACATGTAACTGTTTGTAGTATTGTTGGCTGATTGATCTCCAGGTTATTTCTTAGCTTAATATGTTATAGGTATAGAGATAGTTAAATTGTATTTATATCTTTTATAACTTAGTTATGTTTTAAAATGCATACTTGAAAGGTTTAAACATTTTTTAAATATACATCATACTTTGCATCAGCTCTCAAGGCTTAAGGTCTTGCACAAGGGGAAAATAATTTTGCTGAAGGCTTGAACATCTTTACTGTAATTATGCCCAGAATGCACCACTGACTTGTCCTGAGATGAGTAATAAAAGGTAAAGGACAGGAAAGGAAAATTAAAAATTAACTATATGTAAAAAGTAAAGGACCTGAAATTATGAATATAAGAAAAAGCAGATCTTTTAAAATATTCTATGACAAATTATAAAGTATGTACATTTTTTCTATTTCATAACTTGAAACATTTTATTCCACTGTATATTGATGATAATATGTATGGTTAGTGATATGGTAGCAAAAATTAAAAATAAAATATAAACATTTACCCTAAGAAACTTTTGATATTCATTTAGAAGATTCTAGAGGTTATGTAAATGAAATACAAAAACTATAAGATGAAGAAAAGTATTTTTATACTTAAAATGAAAATCACTTTGCACTTGAACTATTAAGAGTTTGAGTGCAAATAACTACAATAGTTAAATAACATATATTTAGTAGAAACAATTAAAATTATGTCATTCTTTGTGAACAAGATACTTATAATCTTTAACAAAATCTTACCAGTTTTTTGTGAGGATACATTAAGAAATCTCACAGTTACAGTATGTATATGAAATTAATATATGGCCCCTGCAATTGTGAAAGGGTTAAGAGACATGAGCTAATGATAGTAGTGTTAGAATAGTACAAAACTTTAAATTCACCATACCTCTATCAGGATGGTTTAACAACATTATTCGCCTATGTGCTTCACGGATTTTGGCTTGGCTAGCTGATGGGCTGGAAGAGAAAGCTATGATTAATCATTTTTTTAAAACTTCCTTGTAGTTTTTAGACATAGAAACAGATTAAATTAAACCTAAACTGTTTTAATAATAATTTTATTTGATACATGTTGTAGTTCTTCCTTTAAAGGTTAATGGACTTCACCTGATCATTGTGTGGCTAAACAGCTTAAAATATCTTATATTCACACATCAAATCATAAGATTATTAATACAGTTTTCAAATCTCTGTACTTTGGTACCTCAATTAAGAATAGTTATATTATTAAGTTAGTTTAGGCTTTACTATTATTGAAGCTAGTACAATAGAGCATTTCAAGTCAGTTGAAGTTAGACATTAGCACAATTATTTCAGCTCAAATCTAAATGTATGACAAATAAAACCAAATATCTAAATATTTTAAGATTTTCTACTCCCTCTTAGCCATGTGATATGTTTAGATCTTTGTTTTCTAGTTTTAGACAATATACACCGCATTACTGATAATGAATGTATTACCTGTGTTTTAAAGGCATATTCCCTATTAAGAATTATTATTACATTTAACTGAACTCCAGATCTGTCAGATCAATTATCACAAATTCTTCTTAGACAATGTCAGATCTTATTATAACAAAAGCACATTAATCTAAAACTTAAAATCAAGTAACAGAGATAAAAACTGAAACCTTGTGGTTAATTCCTACAATTTGTTTAAATAATAAATATATGTTTACAATTTACAAGAAAAAATCTAAGCTTTACTAACTCTACTGTCATGTATCACAACTACACTTTGACATTGTAGTGTGATGCCACTAAACATTGATCACTTTTGGAAAGCATATACAACAGCCCTTTTCAAAGCAACTTATCCATACACTGAGATTTATATGTACATATAAATGGCTAATGTTCATATCTTAGTGATGAAGCCTATCTTTTTCATGCTCTTTATTTCTTTCTGTAACTTGCATCCTGACATTTCATTTTCTTTCTCAAAGTTTCAGACTTTCTTCATGATAAGTTTCTTTTCTGTTTGGCAATTTTTGGCATTGTGGTTTTCATTGTTTTTAATCACTTTATACTCATACTGAATTGAAAAAAATACTTGTGTAATTTACATAAATTGAGTTACTACAAAATTCCTGCAAATTTATATGAAAAAATTCCGTACAAAGGACTTGCGGTTCCTTTGGTCACAGAACAATTCAATTCATAGCACATGCTTGGATTCTCCAGCAGAAAAGTCACTTTTCTTTTGAAGTATCACAGTGATTCTCCACCAGGAAGACACACCTTGAAATTCTGCATTAAACTCCCTTTACCACAGTTTTAGAAGTTTTATTTTAAAAAATTAATTTCATTGATGATAATAAATGTACAAAATTAATATACGATTTAGGAAAAAATATTATAAAATAACGAGGGTCTGTTTTATAACATTTTTTTATTTTGGTGTGATATAAAACTGTTATTGACTTATTTCTTAAAAAAGTGGATAAATGCACTAAATAAACTTTTATATGAGACCCAATTCTAATGAAACTTTGTTAGGAACTTCTTATGATGTTGAAAAATTGTGTGAAGTTTCATCCAAATTGGACTTAAACTGTGGGATGAATTTTGTTGACAGATGGAGCAAGATCCAGTGAGAAGAAGCCAAGAACAAACCCAAAATACAGAAGCACATCAAATTGCTCACCAAGATGCAGTTAGATGAAGTCAGGAGCAATTTTGTAACAGAGAAGTACGCCATTCAGTTCACCAAGATCCTGACCGAACAGCAGCCCGTAAGGCAGCATTACTGCTAGTCATAAATATGTACAATTAGAAGATTCATAACTTCCATGATGGGAATATCCCTTGTACTTAATGATATTCGAAATGATAGCAATATGGTATGGATTCTTCACAATAAGGCTTCCTATCCAATTATTACATATCTCAAGCAGCTGTAGAATGAAGCAGGTATTCATGCCATGTCAAGTCACCAGATGCAGCACATTTGAATTTCTGTGAAATTGAGTGGTTTGAAATAGGCACTGAGAAACTACCACCCTCATAAACTAGATGGTTTATGGGAAGCTTTCAGGAAGGAGTGATGTGCTTTGGACATGAAAGCATTATGCCAGAGCCTTTTCCAATGGAAACTACACAGCAAGATTATTGTCAAAAGACACAGTCATCATGACTAGACATGACAATATGAACTATAACAATGTGGCAAGGCTCCAGTATTGTTTTAATATAACATACTCAACCTCTGTATTAACAGTATACACTAACTTGAAATGAAAGTAGTATAAACTTATTTCCCAAAGCAATTCTAACTGATACAAATACCGTTGGCATTTCAAATGTCTTCATACATGCATTAATATTAGAGAAATATAATTTAACCAATTATATATATATCCATTCTATTGCACATACACACATGAATGAACATTGATGCTACACAAAATGCACAATGACACAAACTACTAATTTTACATTCCAGAAGATGTAAGATATATCTAAAGTTAACATCATTTCATTAGACTAGTTAATGTACTATGTAATATAAAACAAAAAATTCATTTTACTGTACTATGTGTACACATACCTAACACCAAGAATAAGTCCAGCTTCTCGTTTATTCATTTTGGGTTCAAATCCCCCTTTGTAATACTTGCTGTTGGCAAATGACTAAAAAAAAGACATTTTCAAGGTATTTGTCAAAAAAATACAAATATTTGAAGAGTTTACTTACAATACAAAATTAACTTGTAGCTATATATTTCAAATAAACATTGAAATCACTGATTTACACAATATTTAGCATAAGATTCTGATGCAAAATGTAAGGGACTAGTGAAACACAAATCATAAAATAACTGCTTCTAGAAATACAAATATTTTTGTAAAATCGAATTACATGTTATAAAATTTTAATGTATAATAATATGAAGTTTAAGAATCAGGTTTTGAATTTCCAAAAATATTGAAAAATGTCAATATTACAACACTATACTACATTTCTGTTTCAATTTTTCAACTCAAAAGAATAAGATATTTTACTTAGTCACCATCAGTGTTTATAAAGAAATATAAAAAACTTACCGCAGCATTAGGCAAAGATTTCAAATGTTGTTGGAACTTTTCAGACATTCCTTTTGATGCACGTGAAACATATCTTCCTGTAAAAGTTTTAATGATAATTTAGTTAGTAGTATTATAATGTAAGACACAAACTTAACAGTTTGAAAGCATAGGTTGAGCCTGGAAAACTAATTTTATAAAGTCAAGCATTTTTTTGTTGTTAGTCTTAAACTAGTTATAAGACCACAAACATTATCTACGACAAATAAAACCAAAGTACTATATTTCTAATGTCTTAGTTTTGTTTCTTATTACTACAGTAACTCAGAAAACTACAAGTCCCATATCATCAACAGCCCTGATATTTAACATATATTGTCAGCATGTCATAAGCTAATCGTATTTCGCCAAAAGCTCATATAATCTAATTTTATGATACCATTCCCAGAAATCTCAAACTACCTACATAAGTTGGAATTTGTTTGTTCATGCAAAGATATATGAGGGCTATCTGCACTAGCCATCCATTATTATAAAATGAAAGACTAAGGGAAGGCAGCTAGTCAACACCATCAACTCTTATGCTACTCTTTTCAAACTGAATATTGGGATTTGACTCTCATTCTTTTTGCCCAAGACACAAAATCATAGAATAATGTACCCGTACTTCTTAAAAATCTAATTGCCCCTTATCACCCCACAGAACACACACATAAAAAAGTAGAATACACCTTTTAGAGTTTTGTTTTTATTTAACAGTGAACACAATCACACAATGGCATTAGCAGCTCAATTTTGTCAGATATGGCAATACCATGTTCCACACCTAAGCTAGTGTTTCTCAAGCAGCAGGTCATGACCTCTTGGTTTCCAGGGGTGTCACAAGCTATCTGCACTGAGTATAAATTTTCTGAGTCCTCAAGATGTATGAGAGGTGCACATATCACCTTTGTTATGAACTTTGACAAACTGTTTTTTCATCCTTGTAGAGTCAATGTCATGTAACAACTGAAAAGCTTTTTGTAATTTTATGTTATATCGTATTCCTAGAGCTGGCAGTCAACTTTACTGGGTTCCTACTGCAGACAAAAGAAACATAATATTGTTACATTAATTTCAATATTTTTATTACTGTGCATGTGACTGAGGGTTTGTAAATCTACAAAGATATGCATATTTGTGTATATAGTATTGGTTTGAGGTTCAGAGGCACACACTTTTAAAT